GTGGTCAGACAGGCTGGTGTGCTTCTTCCATGTGGGCTTTGATGCTTCTCAGCTAGATGGCCGCTTGTTTATCTTCAAGCCTTTAAGACCCCAGATGCTATATCTTTTGATAGCCAGGCACCATTAACTCTCTTCACCACATTTGCTTATGCACATGTTTGTCTTCAGTGATTGTGCCAGTAAAGCAGACACCCACTGATATGATTTTCAGTTCTTTGATGTTCAGGTCTTTCTTTCAGAATACTTCTGGATGGGTTTGAATCACTATACGTTCAGCTAGTAGAACACTCAATTGTGTATGCCACCCAGGGATTGACTGGATGAAAAATAATTTTTTAATAGACTAAGCACAGGCTTGGAAGCAATATGTCCAGTGGAACAAAGAGGTAGAGAGAGATTGAGTTGAAAAGATAAAAAGAGGGCAATGTGTGGGGGAACTCTGAGCAATATTGGAGAGTTTGGGATTGATATTCTAAGGAAGGGTGACTGCAGCCAAGTGTGGCAACTGGGATTTTGTTGTAGTTAGATTTACTTCCTCATGGGGTTCCTGGGAAAGTGGATGTGGAGCCAGACTGAAATTTGGTCATCGGCTCATTGATATACTCACCAAGACACTTTCGAGGGTACAGCTCTAACAAGGAAAAGGAACAGAGCGATTTTCCCTTGTAGCATAAAGGAAGCTAGGAATAGCCTATATTGTAGAGTAGGACAAACGCCAATGCCCACATCAGTGGTTGTTAGCGGAAGTATCACAGCTAACAGATACGCATGTGCTCTGCAGGCTTTGTGCCATGAGGAGGATGTGAGTACCCACAGTTATGCCCTGTTCATCAGCTTCATTTTGTCCATGCCCAGGTCAGCGAGAACCCAGGCATCATTGACTATCATGATAATCAGGCCCTGGAAATGACCTACAAGCTACAATCCAGGTCTGCCAGTGCTTCTCCTGCTTTCTATGAAGCCCCTGCCTTCAAACTACTTGGCCTGCAGCTGGAGGGAGCACAGCAGTTGGTGACTCAACTTAAGGCCAAGGGAGGAGTGAGTGGCTCTGAGAACCTCCTCAATCAACTCCAAGGCCAGGTAGGTAGGCAGATTAAAGGAGCTCCTTTCTTCTGTGGTGGAGTGGTTATGCAATGGTCTGCTAACTGCAAAGTTAGCAGTTCCAAACCACCTGCTCCTCCATGGGAGAAAGAGGAGGTTTTCTGTTGTCATTAAGAGTTAATAGTTTCCGAACCCACAGGGGCAGTTCTACCCTGTCCTATAGGGTTGCCATGAGTCGGGATCAACTGGATGGCAGTGAGGTTTTTTGTTTTTGTTTTTTTGTCCCCTTCTGTCATTTCTTGTGTCATCTAATCCCACTTGGTGGGTAATTTCCTAAATCACTCCTTTCTAGGGGACAGGACCCTGAGCTACGTTCATTTTGATGGATTTGTTTTCTTTCGATGTTTCTACCTCACCTCTTCATCTAATTTCCTTAGGTGGCAAATGCGAGCTTCACCCTCAAGCTTCTAGGTGATTCTGACAAGCAGAGCTTCCGTGCCCTGCACCAGGAGGTGGATGTCCTTGAGGGCCGACTGAGCGAGTGTGAGAGGGACAGGAAGCAAGGACAGACCTCCAGCCACCGGAGTCCACCCCTGATTCCCGGTGAGGCACCAGACTAAATTCGCTAAGCTCTTCTTTCCTTAAGGATCGAGTTGGGAATGCCGGGTTGGCTGTAGCTGTGCGAAGGGAGGGCAGTACAAATTCTGGTACAGAAGAAGCATTTCATTTTCTTGTTGGAGCACCCTCCTATGGGACACACCTTAAATCAGGGTCGGGCCAAAGGAATTGCTGTGAGGGTTCCAACTCACAGGGTTATTCCATACAAAATGGGATTTACTTGGGCATGGCTGGGGACAAGAACCTGAGTAATATAAATGTCTTCATCTCATTCAGGTGCCTTCGAAAACAGATCCAATCGAGAAGGTGTCTTTGGAGAGGATCTGTCAGGGCAGTTAAATTCAAGAGAGAGAGGTCAATTAAAAAAATTCTGAAGATGGTTTTGGGGACTCCAGGGGCTAATCTAGAAAGATCTTGAGAGACATTGAATGATTAAAGAGAGCGATTATGCAGATGTTTTAAGCAAATTGAAAACTTCCTTGGTGAGAGAAAGCCACAAAAATTCCACCAAGGATGTTTTTTCCCACCAGGACAATGCACGTGTTCATTCTCCAATAGTAGCAAGGACTGTCCTGTGATAATTTCATTGCAAAACTTCATCCTTTCCATCCTACAGCCTTAATAGTGCCCCATTCAGTCTTCTTTTTGTTCATAAAGCCCAAAGAACATTGAAATGGAAGATGATCTGAATCCCTTGAGGATGCCAAAAATTTCCACTTGTATATGGCCCGAATCAAATAGTGTGGAATTCTTCGGGAAATCTTTCAGTAGATGTAAATACCATTTGCAGACATGTTCAGGCCTCAATAGAGGATGTATCAGGAAACAATAGCAGTACATATAGATATTTTTGTTTAATATGGTTTTGTAGCAATAATTTTGGACTTACATACATAGACATATAAACACATTCATAATTAGACATACACACTGACTTGTATTATGAAAAATGACACCAATTTTTGGACTTTATATATGCACTCAGATAGATGTATGCACACACACTCAAATGTACCTATGGTTATTATATGTTCACAGTGTAATCTTAGTGGACTGTGTTCATCATACCTTGCCTGTTACCCTTTCCAGGTTCCTGTGCCCATGGAATCCTCCAGAAAGTCAGCAGACCTCTTGTGGTACACCTCAATTGGAGAGGCTTCTCATACAAGACAGGTGCCTGGGGCCGAGACTCAGCTCCTAATTCAGTATCCCCCCTCTACTGGGTGGCTCCTCTGCACAGAGGCGGCAGGTGAGTCAAGGCTGACTCCTGTTCTGCATCCAAGTTTATCTGAAATGTCCCCTGCCCCTATCTCAACATGTTCCCATGTGCTCCTTGCCTGGCTTCTTATTTCACATGTATCTCCAGAATAACACAGTCTACGCCTCACAGGTCATCCCCGAATGTACTTTGATGGGTCAAGGATGGCCATGACTGGAACTATTTAATCCCATGCCAAGCCAAATCTAGTTCTATCCCTAAACTGAGCCTATCTGAAGAAAGAGATTTACTAGTCCGGGCTTAAGAATTTTTACTCCGACTCACAAAAAGCTTAATTCCAGCAGCTCTAGCTTATAGAATGAGTTAGAAAACTATCCTAACTCAGTTTATGAGAGTCAAACAAACGTTTGAATCTAACTACCATCATTTATGTGAGCTTGGAGAAATGTATTGTCTTCTTGGATCCCAGTGATTTGTAAAATTTAAATTTAATTTAAATGTGCTCATGTGAGGTCACATAGCAAAATGTGATCAACATCGTAGGTACAGATAAATAGTAAATGAAAAAAATCTAAAGCACTGAATGACCTCTTTCAGAAACTGGCTGTCCAACTCAGGAGAAAGCCGAAACTCCTAGGCAATAGGGAGGGGGTGAATGTTGGAGTAGACCAATGTGAGTAAGAGCCATAGGAAGGGAGGGTGAATGGACCATCCATGGAAAAGCACAGTCATTGAAGCCCGTTTCACAAAGATTAGCGCTACTGATAGTAACCATTCACAGTTGTCTTTGAGTCACTGATTCATGGAGATTCTTGCACGTCAGAGTAGAACTCTGCCCCACAGGATTTTCCATGACTGGTTCCTCCCCCAGAAATAGCCAAGCCTTTTTCCTGAAGTTCCTCTGAGTGGACTTGGACCTTCAATCCTTTGATTTGCAGCTGAGTACATTAACCACATGACCCAGAGACTCCCTTACTGATAATAATGCCCCCTAATATTTACAGGCCCCTAGCACCTGGAGCACAGTTATACTCTTCTGTTTTCTTTTGAATCATTTAAAAATCCTTTCAGGCAAAGTAAAGCAGAAGTTACTGCCTACAATGGGGAAGTAAAATTATTGAAAGTTCAGGAATAATTTAAGGAGTTTTACAAAGCCATGAATATCCATGATTATTGAGTGATTTCTGACACTACATCTTTCTCTGGGCATTTTTGTGGGTAGACTCCACTGCCTTCCACCTGTCCTTAATATGTAGTGTCACTTTGAAACAAACACTTGTACTTTGCTGTTTTATTTAAATTTCCGTGTTCAGTTTTGACAACCAATGAAGAATATGCTTTACATTTGCAGATTTACTGATCAGTTACCCCACTTTAACCAAATTACTTAACCTTTATGAGACCCAGCAATCTGTGGGTAGAACCTACTTTCTTAAGCATTTGCTATAAATTTTAAATGAATTAATGTATGTATATGCAATACAGGCATTATTGCTGTTGGCATTTTTATCATTCCATTACTTTATTTTTGTTTTTATTCTCTACAATTATTTTGTCATGTTATGTAGTAAGTAGCAGAGCAGGAATTAAACCTCAATTGTGACAGATTTCAAAGATCTTGTTCTTAACTAGGAAACTAGCCTGACCTTTTGAAATAGGTTATAGTCAGAATGAAATATATTCTTTGTAACTCTGTTTATTATTATGACCTAATGATTTGGATGTGGGGTGCTTGGTCTAGATACTTTGACTACTACCGGCTGTATAAGTCCTTTGATGACCTGGTGCTGCTTAAGAACTATGAGGAGAGGAAGATGGGCTACGGTGACGGCAGCGGCAATGCTGTGTACAAGAACTACATGTACTTTAACTACTATGGAACAGGAGATATGGCCAAGGTGGACCTTACCTCTAACACCTTGGTTCTGCGGCGACCGCTGCCTGGTGCTACTTACAACAACCGATTCTCCTACACTGGCGTGCCCTGGAAGGACATAGATTTTGCTGGTGATGAGAAAGGGCTGTGGGTGCTCTATGCCACTGAGGAGAGCAAGGGTAACCTGGTCGTGAGTCGCCTCAATACCAGCACCCTAGAGGTGGAGAAAACCTGGCGCACCAGCCAGTTCAAGCCGACCTTGTCAGGGGCTTTCATGGCCTGTGGGGTGCTCTATGCCTTGCGCTCACTGAGCACTCGCCAAGAGGAGATCTTTTATGCATTTGATACAACCACTGGGCAGGAGCACAGTCTCAGCATCACCCTGGACAAGATGCTGGAAACCCTGCAAGGCATCAACTACTGCCCCTCAGACCACAAACTCTATGTGTATAATGATGGATATCTGATCAATTATGACCTCACTTTCCTGACCCTGCAGCGCCAGCTACCAAGAACACCAGTCAAAAGACCCTTTGGGGTCCATGCCCCACCCAAACCTGTCAAAACCAACCAACCTGTTACAGCCTTCAGTCCCTAAGGGTCCAGAGCTGGACAGGTCATTGGTAGTAGAAGTGTATCATCCTCACTTCCAGGTGGAGCAAGGGCCCCAATTGCCATCGTCCTAATAATCGGGACACATTTCATTAGGTCTAATTAGTTAGTTATGTAATTAATATCTCAATCAATATATTTAGGGTCCCTTAAATATGGGCTTGGTGGATTTGATCAGGAAATAAAATTTTAAAATAGCTTTAGATATGTGACCTTATTTTTCTGGTGTCTTAGAATCTCTTACTATCATTTTGAAAATTGTGAATTCCAGACACACATTCCCTCCATTTGAAAACTAGACAATTCTATGATACTGTCGCCCAGATTGTTAAGAGTTATCCCTGCCTGGCAGCACCTAGTTCCACTGCAGAACATCTTGGGGAATTGGTCATTAGAGTGTGAAATGAAAATTCCTTCACCTACTCTTTTCCTTCTGTGGGGGTGCAGGGACTTGGTCTGAAAACAAATGTTTCTCTGTTTTTGGCTATATCACATTTTTAAGTACAATTAAGAGAGCTTCCCCTTTCTGTATTCTGCTCTTGGAAGCTCACAACTTGGCAATGAGCCTGGGGAAGTTCTAACCTGGAAAGGGTTTGGATGTCCAAACATTCTCAATAAAGTCTCCTGTGGTGTAACAGCAGCAGTAAGTTTCCTGGTCATTTGTCCGTGTTCTCTTTGCACATCTTCATCACACTGAGAGCAGAGGAACCCAAACTCTTTTGCTGTCACTATCTTCCCACAAGACAGAGGGTGGGGATGTTCAAGGTTCCAGACCCTGAAGTCCTCACTGCCATAAAAGGGACACTAGGATGTCTTTCTACACTGTTGCATGAGTACACGTTCACATGCACATACACTCACACAGATGTACTCAACTAGATATATACAGTCTCACTCCTATATATCCACTATTTTATCTGCCCTCAAACATCAATACAGACCTACATATACATTTTAACATATCTACTACTAGCAAATGCTTCAGCTTTCCAAATAAAATTATATACCATATTTCACCTTTGTGTGGAACGGAGAATCTGACTTTTTAGGAGGCAGATCGTATTTCCTTAAAGTCTCATTTAGTAATGACTTTTACTCCCACCCCATGCCTCCTCTTTTAGTGTTTTAACCCAAAGAATGAAACCAAAGATCAAGTGGAGACACTGAAACCAATCATTCTCAAATGTCTGCCAGCACACCATGGAGGAGAGCGGGAGGCATAAAAGGATAATAAAAAAGCATTGCTAGAAAACCTTAGAAACTTTCAATAAGGGAATGTTCAAAATGTGCAGCTATTGTTTCTTGACATAACCTTCACCTAAATCTGACACTTCTAAATATGGTGTCATATAGTGGGTACTCATTTGGCTGCTAAATGTAGAGCCAGCAGTTTGAAACAACAACCCCCATGGGAGAGAAGATGGGGGGTTTCTACTGCCCTAAAGAGTTAGCCTCAGAAACTTCTAGGGGGCAGTTCTATCCTACAGAGTCACTGTGAGTTCGCAGGACTGGGTGGCAGGGAGTTTGATTTCCAAGTCCTTCCCTGAAAAATCCCGGGCTCTTCCACTTCTGCCACATTGAAACACAGTTTTGGCATCCCCGAGGAGCACAAATCATGCTCCTTCTCAGTGGTCCTTGAGTGTGGGAAACGAGGTCTGAAGGATGTGGGGAGGGTGAGGTAAGATTTCCCCACAAAATTCTTGTAGGTCGGTCCTCACCATCACAAAGAATGGTCATTATGAAAACAACAACAACAACAACAACAACAAAAACCTTCAGTGCAACTTTTCTTACGTTTTTCTTATAAACGTTGTTTTCAGTTTTCTTAAAACTTCTAATAAGTACATATGATTGGTCTGTGTCATTGAGAAATTCTATCAAGACTACCCCTTTGATACCTGTGGCAGCCATCTAAATAGGAAGATGGAAGAAAGAGAAAAAAAAAAAGACATGGGTAGGGTGTGAGCAGGACACTAACCCACCCAAGGGGAGGGTGTTGTTTATATCTCCACAGGGAAAGAGAGAGCAGGCTTTTACTGCATGTACCAAGTCGTGAATACAACATACCAGCATGTACCAGGGAACCAATAGAGAGGCCTGTGGGGCTGGCCCCAATCCAGACTATGTGGACAACCGCCCC